ATATATATATATATATATATATATATATATATATATATATATATATATATATATATATTATGATTTCAAGATGTTTGCAAAAGGTTTTAATTCACAGGATCCATGTGAGTAGAGAGTGCAACATTGTTCCTTGCAGCCGAGGGAGAGGTCCTCTTTTGTCGGGCAGTGTTTGATCATTATGGGTTGAGAGGTTAAGTGCAAGACCATTGAGGGTAGTACCTGATGGGCTAATCTTGCATCTTCCCACAGTCCTTGGGTTTTTATAAGGTGACTTGGCCCAAGGACCACTTAGTGTAAGTGTTGGGCCCATTAAGAGCCCATGGTGATGGACTCAGGGGTTCACTGCCCATAATAGTGAATTCGGCCAGGCCTTGTAACAGAGGGTAGGCTGAACCCATGTGGTTGATGTGTAGATCAATGTTTGGGTCCCACACCATGCAAGGAAACCCAACTAGGCAGCAATTTGGAAGGGTAGTGAGCACATGGACTTATTGGGACCAAAGCCTAATTCGAAATGGTCTAATTTGATTAATTAAAGAGAGTCCAGATTTGGATCAACAAATATGATAAGGGATTATCCTTATCCACTCAAAGAGTCCAGATCCAAATACAGATTTGGATTTGGAAACTCCTAATAAAATTAGGAGGGCTGATCTAATCTTCAGATAAGATAATGGCTTATCCTTATCTCTTAAARAGAGTCTAGATTCAAATAAGGATTTGAATCAGGAAATTTCTAATGGGATTAGGAGTTGATCTCTTTAAGGCTATAAAAGGAGGAGGGGGCGAACCACACAACACATTCAGATCTCAGATCACAGAAAGAGAGAAGACAGTTACAATAAGACTGTTCCATCTTCTACTCTTGCGCCCTCCTCCTACTGCCACCATTGCCAGTTCGTTCTCCATTGTAGGAGCGATCGAGAAGGGTTCTTGATATCAGTTTTTAGAGAAAAATTGATCTGAAGTCGTGCTCACAAACCCTCCATCGAATTCTTGCTGAAGGATTTTTTTCTTGTGAAAAACCACCTACTGATTCTGCTCCACCCTACGCTGTGTCATCTTCAATGAGAGCAGTCTTTGGAGTTTTCCTTGGGTGTGAACACCTTTGTCGGGAGCTACTGCTACTCCGTATCAGGTATATCCCTCTCCTACCTTTTGGTTTCAGATCTGGTTCGGTTTAGGTTCAAGATTGATCATTGAAAATGCAGATTTTCTAAAATAGGGAATGTGATTCCCACATGGGAGAGAGAGAAGTTTTTGAAATTTCGCCCTACCTTCCTGTAGGGTTCGGCTATCCATATGATGGATCTCTCATCCCTTCAATCTTCGCTTTGCTGATGACTGTATTCTCTTTTGTAAAGTTGGCATGGCACACGTTAGAGCTTTGCTTAACATTCTACACAAGTTTGAGCTCATGTCGGTATGTCGGGTCAAGAAATCAACTATTTCAAGTCAAGCATCTTTTTCAGTAGAAATGTTTCGCCAACATCGTAAGTTCCTCTCTCATGCTCTTCATGTTAAAAAGCCATTGACAGGAACCAAATATCTTGGAGCCCAAGTGGGGACAAATATTCGGCTAGGTAGCTCTCACAAGGAAATCATTGACGTTGACATTTGGGTAAACACCAAGTTTTAATGTGTCTTGGTTAATTTTCTATAATTATATATCATATATGGGAAGCAAGGAACAAGCAGATTTTCGAGAATGTCAGGCAACATCCTATACAAGTGGTAAATTTAGTGATAAGTTATCACATGGAGCATCCATCACCCCAGCCCATCACCACCAGAGTCAGTCACGACAAAATAAACTTTCCACTTTGTATACTGATGGCTCTTTTAATACAGATATAAGTAATGCAGGATGAGGGTTCGTCTTCCAACATCCCTACGAGCATTACACCATCGCTGAAGGCAGACCTTCTTGGTCACTTACCAGCTATGATGCCGAAATTCGAATCTTACTAGATGGACTACTTATGGCACTTTCTAATGGCATCTCCCATCTTTTGGTATATTCAGATAATGCAACTCTAATAGAGCTGGCAAACATTGATCGGATCTCCCGCTGGCTTTAGTAGCTGCATATAAATCATCTGATGCGCCTAATAGACTCATTTGAATATATAAAGTTTGTAATATTGTGAGGCAGCACAATCAAAGAGCTCATCTTTTGGGTCGGTTTACTTTGCGCTATAACTCCAAACAATCACATGTAACTTTTAACTTATAATATATAGTACCTTTAAAAATAAATAAAATCTTAAATAAACCCAAATTAAATTAGAGTTACATAACCAAGCGTGAGTGTGGAGGATATTGCGGGGTGGGGTGGGATCGCGGCCGGAGGACCATGAGTGTATTGCCAGTCGCCACTGGGTCCAATTTTGTTGCATGCGTGCCACGTTAGAGAAATTAAGATTCTGTTAATCCACTTTCTTCTGCATTTGATTTGAGATGGTGTTTGTGGTGTAAGCGCTCCCAAGTTTCCTCCATGGCTTCTGCCCTTGCGAAGCTCTCTTCCTTGCCTTTCACCTTCTCCATCGTGTCTGCGTCATCGTCGTCAGCATCATCTTCAAAAGGTATTGAATGACTAGTCTAAAATCTAACTGGGTTTCTCTCTCTCTCTCTTAAAAACCCATGTTCACAGCGTAGAAATCTTGTTTTTGTTGTTGTTTATTGGCCAGATGTGAATTCAAACTCGAACACAGTTAAGCTGAGGGAGGATTGGAGGAAACGGTCCAGACCCATTCCGCCTGGAGGCATATACCCTGCCAAAGATCACTGCAGGTTTATGCTTCCCTCTTTTTCTTTCCAACTTTTTCGTTTTTTATTTGGGTCCAGACTACTCAGTTTAAAAACTGGGATTTACTCTAGTCCCCATTCTTTTGACAGTCGATGTGGTTTGTGCGACACCTATTACATTGCCCATGTGAAGAACGCATGTGCTTTCTTAGGAGATGGAATGTCTAGGATTGAAGTAAGAGCCACTGATTTTTTTTTTCTTTTTTTCATGTTTTCTCTAAGTTTTCTGTTAATACCAATTCTCATGGTAGATTCCATTACCATCAAATGGGGTTCATTTATTTTGTTGTAATGAACCAAAAGATGCATAGCATTTTGACATATTTTTAGATAACAAGAGAATCATTGAGAAAAAAGAGGAGGTTGTGAATGAGAATTGAAAATGTTACTGGCCCAAAGAAGGGCAGAATGAAACAACAAAAAACAAAAGACTACAGCGGGAGATCCAACCTGCAATTAAAAATGATCGGCATACCTCCTTTGGCAAGAGAATCTGTCAAGTTGTTACCTGTCTTTGGAATAAAAGTGGATACTCAACTCAACTGAATAATTCCTTATCCTAACTATTTCGGGTTAGGTAGAGAAATCCTCTTTCTCCATCGGAAGGCCTACTAATTCCAAATGTGTTAAGTTCTATAAAGAGAAATCCTTTCTCCATCAAGAGCCAGACATTCTCCTTTGCAAGAATAGATGAGTAATTCCAAATGTGTTAAGTTCTATAAAGATATGAAAATCTTCAGGGCTCCTTCACAATGGAAGGCCTACTAATTCTTAACAAGGCCCCATCTGTAAAGTTCCTATATACAGACTTTCCATAAACTTGAGTTCAGGAGTGAGGTTCATATAACTGATATATTGTATTGAGGGGAAGCTTGATTTAGGCTACCAACAGCATTGTCAACAACTTGTCTAGGAGTCGAGGTCTTGAGATGGGAATTATAGTGGAGGAGTCTTTGCTCCTAGCTACTTGAGGTATTTGGTTTTTGCTTTGTTGATTTTTTTGCTGTCTTACTTGGTGGTTTTTTTATAGGGAAAATCTACGATGCAGAAAAGATACGGTATGGAAAGAGTTTTGACCAATTAAAACCCACCCATGAATTTTGATAAATAACATCATGTTCCCTACCACATTTATAATTCTGGTTTATTGGTCAGTTGATTTTCGGATATCATATCTTTTCCATATCATAGTCGAACCCTTTTTTATAAAGGTAGTGCCCTTGCACTTGCTTGCATTATTCGTATAATAAACTCTTATTTTTTTTTATCAAAAAACAAGAAGACTTAGCCATGACCAATCAAAATCTCATTTGGTTGGGTCAAGTAAATCTTTATTTGCTTGAATTACCAATTTGACTTGTTTTGGCCATGATCTAGTCAGCTATGGCTGTGCTACATGAGTTTCTGGTTCTTGATCATTGAACCTGTATGTTCTTTATACGGATGGAGATACAAGACATTTCTAAGCATCTTCTGATGTTTTCCATGCTTATTCTTGTTGGTCTCATTAATCATATCAAATTCTTATATTCTTTTTTGTTAGAGCTTGGAACCTGTAGTCCATGGCAGAGGGAGGAAAGTTGACTCTATCGATGAAACCTATTTAGGAGTCCATGAAGAGTTGTTATATGCTCGTAAGATTACGCCTGTAGAAGGTAATCTGTATACAAGTACTTCAGTTTTATAATAAGTTCGTAGCTGTATATTTCAACTTTTTAATGATGCCAATGAATACCTCATTTTTGTGAGGTAATCTGGTTTTGTATGCTTAAGGCATTTATGTGACATTGCTGCCCTCGCCAAAGGGATGGCCAAACTATGGGTTGAGGGCTGAAAGTTGGTAGGGGTGCAAGTTGGGTGGGCTTTAAGCTCAACCCAGGCCCAACCCAGGCCCAACCCTAAGAGTTGGGCCTAAGGCTGGATCCCTGGTCAAGCCCAATCTGTTCAACCTGGGCCCAGCCTGCACTGCAATTCGGCATACTTGGATTTGTCTTGGGCTCCTGGGCTTGGGTTGGTCAATCAGTTTAGACTAAAATCTGATATAAATGCATGTGTATATGTATGCATATATGTATGGTTTACAAAAAAGTATGCATGAAAATATGTGTCTATAAATATGCATATAGTTGGGCAGGGCTCAGGCCATTTTCGGGCTACCTAAGGACTGGGCCCAGGTCCAGCATGAAAATTAAAAAGGCCAAACTTTTGGGTCCATTCCCAGCCCGAGGACCAGAAATTCCAAGCCCAACCTAAGGGCTAGGCCCAGGCCCAACACGAAATTAAAAAAGGCCGAACTTTTGGGTCCATTCCCAGCCCAAGGACCAAAACTCCAAGTCCAACCCGTGTAAAATTGCAGGCTGGTTTGGTCTGAGCTTGGGTTGGGCCCACTCAAGTTGTTCCCGTAAAAGTTGGGCTGGTATCAATATCATAAAGAAGCTGTAAAAATGAAAATACAAACTTAAGACTTTGTATTGGCATGTATTTACAAGATGCATCTTTTTTTTTTTTAATTTCAATTAATGGGATGTTTTATTTTTACTCTTCAAAAAAAGCATCACAGAGGAATCAAGGAATCTAGGGGAATTCCAGAAAAGGAACTTCATAAAACTCAAATGCTGAAGTTGTAGTTTGAGGAAATGTTAAGCAAAGAAACCAATTGGAGATATATACATGATGCAAATGGAAGGTGATTCGTTTTTTTCAACTTTCTGAAGGTTTCAATTGGAGATATAAACATGATGCAAATGGAAAGTGAAATATAAACATGATTGTAGAAGGTGATTCAAAGACAGTCATTTAACTGGCTAAAAGGTTAGCAGGACCTTGGTGTCTACGACATCAGATCAGGGAAGCTAGATACCTAGCTAGTATTTTGGAAGAAAATTTTGTTTGGATCCCAAGATCAGCATACAGCCTTGCTGACTCACTATCTAGAGGGGAATCCATAGACAATCACTGATGTATTTATTTATTTATTTAAGGGGGGTGGGGTATCCATTTGGCTAAAGGTGTTGCTTGTACCTATGGACTCCATTAGGGAGTTTTTGGGAGGCCAGCAGGGGTAATTCTAATCAACTTGTAGGGTCTGTTTGGTTCTCAGTTGGAATCGGAATGGCCTATTCCTCCTACCTGCTTGGTTCAGATGGGAATTGGAATCGGAATTGGCTGGAATGGATTCTCATTCCCGAGAGAGAGAGAGAGGGAATGGCCATTCCCCCAAATGGGGGAATGCTATTCCACCAGGAATGGGAATAGGATTCCAATTCCACCCAACCAAATGGTTGGAATCGGGATGGACCGTTCTGATTCCGAGTCCAGACCCCTATTCCCGCAAACCAAACAGAATTGATCTCCTTGTTGCACTCACATATTTTTACCTTTTATCAATACAATTTTACACTTATGGATAAAAGTTGACAACTAAGTAGGAAAGAAAGAATTAAAGGCTTTCTAGAGGCAAAAAATGGTGACAATGCTCATCTTTGTTAGATTTTAATTCTATTTGGTGATTGAAAAGTAGCCTCTTTTTATTGAATGTTCCTTGGTAATATAATAGGGTTGATCACATTTCCTGAACTGGGCTTGTCCTCTCTTAATTATTTAAATGCTAGATTACATTATAGTGGAACTTTTGTCCATCAAATTTTAATTTCTAAAGTAAATGGTTGAATTCTAAGGCAAATTAGTAATGTTTGGTTCTAAAATTTGTTTTATCTGATTGTAATTTAACCATAGGAGCACAATGGACGGGAATAGTTACAACCATTGCTGTGGAAATGCTGAAAACGAGTATGGTGGAAGCTGTTATATGTGTGCAAAGGTAGTGTTGCAAATATGTTTTAGTAGTTGGTGAATGTAAAATAATTAATTTAAAGGCTTGCTGAAGCTATTTCATCTTTCATGATTTTTTAATCAATGAAATCTAAACCCACTTGTAGTGATCCAGGGGATAGACTTGCTCCAAGGCCTATTTTGGCCAGGTACATTGAAAGAAATCTATATTTCAACTTACATACTCTATATTTAATGATCCCCTACAGTTCTAAATCTCTGAGCTAACGTAGTTATCTTTTGAATAGAACACCAGATGAAGTCATGGCAGCAAAAGGTGTAAAGCCGACATTGTCTCCTAATCTTAACACCCTTGCCCTAGTTGAGGTGCTTTATATTTTTCTTTTCTTTAACCTCAATGATCTGTGCTCTTTTATATGTTTTTTTTTGTGTTATGATATTATTCTGCTCCTTTACTTGAGTTCTGATTTTTTTTATTAGATATAAGCTTTCTTATCTTCCTATTCATAAAGAAATCACTCTTTTCATCTGACTGGTAGGCTGGAACTCCTGACTTTCAACTATACTTGATATACTTCTCTCTTCAAAAACAATTAATGTTTTAAACCACAAGTGTATAGTTTGGCCCTTTTTTCATATATGTAAAGTTTCTTTTCATATGGATAAAAGTGATGTTTATTAGAAAGAGAGAGAGGTACAAGGGTGAAAACGAAAAGGAAAAGAACTATAAGGGTCAACAATAGAAGAAAAGGATATGGAATAGGGTGGGTTAGTTTGTGCATGGCCAGAGTTGACAGTGTTGATTTTCCAAAACATGTGGGGCAACCAGGTAACCTGGTCCTGCCTTCCCTATAATGTAAATATGGAAATGGGTCTCACCTGTGATGGATAGAGGGAAAAGGGTATAAGTAGCAATCTGTAGTAATTCTTCCATTTTTCTGGAGTTACAAATTTTTCTTTTGATCTACTTCACCAACTCAAGTTCTGGTAGAAATCTGTGAATGGATAGTGAGCATTCAGGAGTTCCATGAGGTCATTGTGGTTAAAAGTTGGCAAGAAGGTGAGGTTAAAGGCTTGGAGATCTTTATGTCTATGCTTAGTTGGCTGCTTTACTGAATCTGGTAAAAAGTATTACCATCTACAACACCTGTTAGGAAAAGTAATCTGTTACAAGTTGACGGGGCTAGAAGAGCTAGGGGCAGAAAAGTACTTGGGTGGAAGTAGCAAGAAATGATTTATTTATTTATTTATTTTGGTAAATAGCTAGAAATGATTTAAGTGCCCATACTTTAATGATGAATATGACATTAAACAGAATGGAATAGCGAAACAAGATTCATGTAGCTGGCTCCATATAGTTGGGACAAGGTTTAGATGGTCATGATGATTAATCTGGTAAAAGATATTAAATGGTATGTATTTGAGGTTGGGCTTATGGACTTTTCTCTTTCATCAGTGCTCATAAGATCTCTAAATGGTAGGTAAAGGTGTATGGAGTTCTCTACTTTAGTGTCATGCTTTGTTTTAGCCTGTCTGTGATGTGGTGGGTAGTTTTATTCAAGTGGATGGTAGAGCATGGTCCCTTAGCTCTGGAAAGTATTCTTCAGTTAGATGAGCTTCATGATCAACAAACTTGATTGTTGATGGTCTTGCTAGAGCTATGTTCAGGAGTTATACTGAACAGACCTATTCGTGGGCTGGGGGTTGCCTGACGGGCTGGCCCAGCCTAGCCCGTTCAACATTGGGTTATTTTTCGGGCCAGGCTTGGGTTTTCCCAAATAAGCCCGGCTTGGTAATATTATATATAACAAAAAATATAATAATTATATAATAATAAAATTATTAGCAGAAAAAAGTATTATATATATTATAATATATAGAATATTATATAATATATAATATATTATTAATAATATATAATTAATATATTATAAAAGTATCTGTCCAAATTGGGCTTTGGGCTTTATATAGGGCTGGGTTCGGGCTTGGGCCTAGTTCTGTTTGTAAAGAGGCAAAGCCTGGCCTGGCCTTGTCTGTGAACAGGTTTAGTACTGAGTAACTAGTAAGACTAGTTGTATTTGTGGTGTAAGATGTATTGGGTTCCATTGCGCATAATTTGACAATGGACATGACACATAACAGAGCAGAGTGGTGAGACAGGTTTCTTGTAGTTGATCCCATATAGTTAGGATAAATCTTAGTTGAGCTGAGTTGATGTATTGGGGTCAATTGTATGGACAAGGGCTGTTGTTTTGGTTCCTTTTGATACTACAGGGGCTTGTACTTGTCAAAATAACATTTTTTTTTACATTAATATATACTTCAATCTTGTCATTTATGAAAAGTAATCATTGTGAGATTTGGCGTTTATCATAAAATAGTTTTAAGGTGTCTATAAAGAATCACTTTGAATGGAGTGACAGTGTTTCTTGGATAGTTTTGCATGTACTGTAGTAGATTGGGCTTGTTGATATTTTGTAATTCTACAGTTTGAAGGTGATTCCCAGGTTGTTGTGGGGTGGTTGTTGGATCCGGATTCGACTGTCTGGGGTTTAAGAGATCTTCTTAAGGTGGCTTGGGTAACAAGGAATATGATAGCGAGGATCCAATGGGTAAGAAGATCAGCTAATGAGATAGCTGATTCTCTTGCAAAACAAGGGGTTAACAGGGATTCTCTGTTCTGGGCAGCTTTGTGATTGTGTATAATCTTTCTACTAGTGGTTACTTGTTTCTCATGTAGTTCTGATTTTTATTCTCAAGAGGGAGGGTGCATCTCGAGCCTCTCTCTGGGCTTATTCGTAATAGATCTATCTGTTTTTTTTTTTTGATAAATGATTGAATTTTATTCAATAAAATTAATAAGATATTACAATACAGCCTTCCCAAAGGAGGGGCACGAGCTGGTACCTCTCCACAATAGCAACAATGTACTACCTCAGACTAGTTACAAAAAGTTTACAAAGCTGCCCAGAAAAACTGTTCCCTTGATACCCCTTGTTTAGCTAACCCATCCGCTATGGTGTTAGATGTTCTACCCACCCACTGAAAAATAACATTCATGTTCCTTGAGAACCATTTAGCTTTCCTCATAGTACCCCTGTAGCACCAGATCACTGAATCTGGATTTTTTAGCCAACCCACAACAACTTTGGAGTCTCCTTCAATAATCAAATTTTGAACTCCAAACTGATCCGCAACCTGAATGCCTTGTACTGCCGCTAGGAGCTCAGCTCTGATAGAGTCTCCTACACCCACAGAGCCTGAGAACAAAGCTAATATGTTACTATCTTTATCTCTCAGCACTCCACCAATCCCTGAAGGCCCCGGATTTCCTTGATTGCTACCATCAAAATTCAGCTTTGTCCAGTCTTCTGAAGGGGGTACCCATACAGCTGGTACCCTGTTCTTTCTGTTACTGCTACTAGCCACAGCCCTCCAGTTCCTCCACATGTCATCAAAAGAATATAATTTGAAGGAATCTGATGATCTCAGCCAATGGATTGCCCTGGTCAAAATACAATCCTTCACATTCTGCGCATTTCTCTCCTTTTCTTGGAATATCCTCGCATTTCTTTCTTCCCAAATTGTCCACAGAGCAGCATCTCTAATGCTCCTCCACATTGTTTTACCAGTTTTTGTGGGCCACACAAAGAAGGAAGAATCAAAGATCTGATCTATGGCTGTGGTCATATTCCATCTGCAACCGAACAAAGCAAAGATCCAACCCCAAATAGCAGCAGAAAAAGGACAGGTTAAAAGTAAGTGTGAGCAATCCTCACCATTAGCCCTGCAAAGTACACACCAATTAGGAGACAAACACATAGAGGGCCTTCTCTTCTGCAGTAAGTCTAAAGTGTTGATTTTCCTATAGAAAACCTCCCAGCAGAATTTTAGGAGGTACAGGTTTAGACCAAATCTCCTTAGCTGGGAAGCCCACTTGTCCCGAGGGAGAGCAAAGGGACTTAAAAAAGGAAGCACATGTGAAGTAACCTTTTGGGTTTGGAGACCAAAGTCTCACATCAGAACTGGAAAGGTCCAGAAAAACACTTTCAAGCAGTGACAACAGGTCTGAAACATGAGAGAGTTCATGATCCCTCAAACCCCTACGAAATCCAAAGTCCCAACTCAAGGAAGATGGAGAATTAGATGTTGGAAGAAAATGAGAAATTGTAACAGATCTATCTTTTGATTAATGAATTAATTTCAATTATCAAAAAAATTCTACAATTTGAATTTAATTTGAGTTATTTATCAGATGACAAAGATATAAAAGGAAAAACAAAAAAAGCCCAATGAAATGAACCTGATAACCATTAACAAAGCAAGAAATACATAGGATTTAGATTTTCATAAAAGAGGATAATACACAGAACTCACACTAATGGGGGGTGTCCTATAAGGAATCCCTCTAGTACTTGAATAGCTGCTTTTAGAAAATAAATTGTCATTGTTTCTAATGTAAATCTCAAACTTATTTTCTTTTCTCAAAAATTTCCTTTTCTTCCATCAAAATACATGCTTCCTTGCTATCACTGGTTTTTCCAATAATTACTAGAAAAATATTGACAATGTTGCAAGAATACAATTATGTATTTCATAGGTTTAGTAAAATGGGAAATTTCTTTTTCATTGCAAACAGGCAGCCAATGTAAAGCGTCTTCTTTTTTGTGGAGTTGGTTGCCAAGTGCAAGGTAAGGTCTATATTTTAATCAGAATAGTCAATGTTTAATTTTTTCATTGTTGTGACTTGTATAATTGTAATGCAGAATGATTTCTTAAACTGCAGCATTAAGATCTATAGAGAAATACTTGAACTTGGAAAAGCTCTATGTACTTGGCACTAATTGTGGTAACTAAGAGATCTCTATTTGGTTTGTTATACTTATACTCTCTCATTTTAGCTTCTGGAATGTGAACTGAAAAACCAGGATTACAAAATCAGTGCATTGTCTTTTCATATTATTTACAAGGAGTTGGGTAGACTAGGCAATTGCTGAATATATTTCACATGATTAACGCCTTTTTGTTTGCAGTGGATAATGGAACGCGAGAAGGGTTAGATAAGTTTCTAAAGGCTGCAAGCAATGACCCAGAAACTGTTTTGCATTATGAGTTTATGCAAGATTACAAGGTTTTAATATTTACTTAATCTTTTGTTACAATAAATTCTTCTGGGTTGAGTTGCCTCTCTAAAATACAATTCATATGCCTTATATTGATGCCCTCTCAAATATTTATGTAAATGTGACCTTCTCAATTTATGCAACTTGTCTTTTGTAAAAAGTAAAGGAAATAAGGTTTGGCAACTGTGGTCACTTCTTGTGGCTGCTTGGAAGTTGTAAATACTTATACATCTTAATTAATGAAATTTCAAGTCACCAATCAAATAAATAAATGTGGTGTTCTCCATGGCTTCCTGCCATTTGGTTAAACAGTGACTATGTGGTTACATGACCACTACAGTCAGAGACAATTACATATGTTGGTCCTGGTTAAACATTTTTTTGACATGTGTATATGGCAACATGCACCAGTCATGCAGGTCCCTTGCACTTTGTCCCCATCCAGAGGATCTACATTGAAGGCAGACAGAATCAATGTGGACATTCTTTACATTCAATCAGAGCTCATTGCTTCTATAGACTTATTCATTCCCTTGTAATGTTAATTGTGAAAAACTCCAGTGGAAAGATGCAAAGACTAGAGGTTCCTCAGGACTTTGAGATCAAAGCTTAAACCATAACTAGATCCAAGAACACATGAATAAAGTATCCAATTGTTATAAAAAATAGTGTCCAATAAGCATTGTCTGATAAAAAGTTCTCTTTAGCAAACCTTAATGAGGAGCTTTTACAACTGGCTTATGGATGATAAAAGAGAAATTTTCCTTTGATCTCAAGAAAAACCTTACTTACTCCTAAGGGCTTGTGGATAGGATGTTATTTCATGGATAATTTCATATAGAGATCTAACATTTTGTATGTTAACCCCTCATAGTTTATAAGTGTAAATCCTCTTTTTTCTTTTATAAGTAAAATTTTCTGTTAAAAACCAATTAAGTATTTTGATTCTTCAAGGAGATCTTTCCATACTTAATTGTATTAAAGGAGGATTTTCTTGTAAGGAAAAAGAGAAAGAAAGGAGGAAAAGATAGGAAAACGACCAAAGTTATAGATGGGAAAAAAGGATGAACTACATATAGACCATAGAACTCTGCATTTAAAAAGTTTATCTTGATTATAATATTGCTACGTCATCCAAAATGGCATCTTTTAAGAAATAATGGTCTGAGATGTTCAAAGCATGAGTGAGGAATAAAATTCCCTATCAGTAACAATTACTTAGGTGAGCACCCGTGTTTATCAGAAATAGGAGATGTGCATGAATCACCACCTTTTTCTATGACGTAGTTAGAAAGTTCAGCATGATGTCTTGAATCAAGGAACCTTGATAAGATATTTTTATCGAATTATCTGCAAATGATTCTTGATGAATTGATCAATGAGTTATTTGTAAATGACTGAGTTGTTTTAACAGGTTCACTTGAAGCATTTGGATGGCCATATTGAAGAGGTAGTTTATTGTCAATACTGCCCTTAAAGAAATATTTAGTTTTGTAAGAACATTATTTCATCCAATTTAACTTTAATTAAAGCAGGTCCCTTATTTTTGCCTACCAGCAAATGAATTAGTTGATGTTATTGCACCATCTTGCTACAGGTAATATCTTGTTCTTTTCCTTGCTTTTATTTTCAATATATGCAGTATTTTGCATTTTTTTCATGTGGGGATGTTAATGATGTCCTCTGCCTTGTAGAACTTGCCCCATATGTACTTTTTTTAATCTCAAATAAATTTCTATGATTTTCAATCTCCTCAATGAAAAAGAAAGCATCCATTGTAATTTGTGTTCATTTCAGGAACTTGAAAATATGCTTCTTGCGATGGGTGTGATGAAATAAAAAATAGGATAAAGTTATAAGTGCATACATATCATGGAAATATTTGCAGATGTAATTGAGAAGATACAATCAAGTATGCTCATCTTAAACCATGTGGTTTTATTCATCATCACCATCATCCATGCCTTATCCCAACAATACGGGGTCGGCTACACGAATCCTGTTTTGCCAATCCATTCTATTTAAAGCCATATCCACTGTTAAATTATTAGTGCTTAAATCATTTCTTACTTCTACCCATGTCCTTTTTTTTGATAAACTACCCATGTCCTTTTTGGTCTACCCTGAGCTCTTCTAGCCCCTTCAATGTGTAACAAATCACTTCTTCTAACTAGCGCAGTTGGTGGTCTTCTATGCACATGCCCAAACCATCTAGTCTACTCTCTCTCTCTCTCTCTCATTTTATCACCTATTGGAGCTACTCCTAGCCTCCTAGGTTCCTATAGATAACTTCATTTCTCATTTCTGCCATATTCATTTTCTGGACATATGATCAAGCATGTTGTTTTACTGATAGTCCAAAATTCTGAACCATATGCCAGTCTTCCTACTATTTTTTATAAAATTTTCCATCTGGTTTGTTCAGTGTGTATTGGAATGGGGGAACAAGATCATGTAGCTAACTCAATATAGTAAGGACAAGGATTTTTCTGCATTGAGTTGAGTTTGATCTGTGTCTATCACTGTTTTGTTAATGTAATACCCTTTTAAGCACATCATTTAGCCACTTAAGGTAAATTCTATCCTATGTGCCACATTCTCCTTGACATCAACCTCCTTGTGGATATATAAAGATAACTAAATAGTTGCTTTTGCAATTTGTATCGACTATCAGGCTTAATTTCATCAACCTCCTGTGGACCACTTCACAGAATGGGGTTGAAGACTCAACAACTTGTTGCACAAATGCAGGTTCAGTTGATAATATAACTATTAGCTCTCTTTTCACCAGATTTCAGAGCGAAACTGACCCTATTTGGGATGCCAATAGGCAAGATTTGTACAGGGGACCATTGGATAGGGCTGCAAACAGATTGGGTCGAATTTGGATAGGGGTAATATCCAAATCTGATCCAATTATAACTCAAGAGATCCGAATTAATCTGATATCTGATGTAAATGCAAGATATAGGTTCAAATTCGATTCGTTTACATACTGGATGTCCGATTTGATTATTATATCAATAAATCTATATGATATTAACATGCATTTTTTAAGTTAAATATATAACAAAAAAATACCATAAATAGAAAAAACAAGTTAATCTAAATCCCAAATCCAGCTTAATTTATACATGTAATGCAATCAGATTGGATCAGATCAAGCAAGATCTGATTAATAAACGGGTCATATTTAAGATTTGATTTTTTCTAAATGGATATCTGAACCTGACTTAAATGAATTGGATTTGAATTTGAACCAGATTAAATCTGATCCATTTGCATCCCTACCACTGGATTTGTGGCTGTAGCTTTTTGGTTGGGTATTTATGCATGTTTGTGGCAATGTTTCATAGTGGACTAGTAGTAGCCAACTCACTAATCAGTTGAGGACCATACCAACTGCATCACTAACCAGTTAATCAATACCCTTGATGATATTGCTTGGGATGATTAGTCAGCCTACTTAATCACAAAGCTAGTTTAAAGCTTTATTTTTTTGTATTTACCTCTATTTATTTAAAACAATATCATGCATGCTTTTGTTTTCTATTTGCACACCTAGTTACTTTATGCATTTGTAATGGAGCATGGATAGGTGATGGTATATAAAATAAAAATAAGGCATAAATAGAATTGGAAGAGTTTTTTATGTCTTATTCCATTTACTAATCTTCTGGTGTGAAATTGCTGCAAATAAGGGGGCTGTATCAAATGGTCAAGGTTAGGAGTGATAATTTTTAGCCCAGCCTGGCCTGGACTAGAAATTTTGGGCTTGGGTCCACATCAGACGCAGCCTGGAATACATACATATGCATATACATATACATACATACATACATACATACATACACATGCTTGTATTGTATATTATTTTATATATCATATCTAAATATTGTAGTATGATACATATAATATTATATATAAATTTTTATATTATATCAAATGTAACATATATTTTTATATATTATATTTCATTATATAAAGTATTTTATATTTATTAAACATAATATATAAAGTTGTAGGCCTGGAAGCCTGGCCCAGGCTAATTGTTAGGCCTGGAATGCAGAGTGGGCTAGGCTATGCCCCTTATTACAGGTGCTAAGCCTGGTTCAGCCTATGATCACCTCTAGTCAAAGTTGCACTCTTTCATTGAAAAACAAACCATTAACTCCCTCTCTCAGCCTATCCTGTCTTTTTTTTGTTTGCATGACAAACTTTAAAGCAAATGTTCTACAGGCCTTTTTATTAGATTGATTATAAATTTTTAATTTATCATGAATGTGCATAAATCCAATTGGCAGTAGAAGCATCTTTATCTACTTAATCAGAATAATAACATGAATGTTAGTCCTGGCTTTGGAATATGTTCTTTTCTCCTCTAATGATGTCTGAATTTCCACTTTTGCCCATTTACTTGATATAAGTCTTTTACTTTACTATATTCACTATGGGTTACAAACTCAATTAATTGTTTCATATGCCTATTTGGATATAATAATATTGTGATTAGTTATTTAATGATGTGTTTACTAGAATGGTTTGACATTTCTTCTATTGCGTATGAGATACTTTTGCCTAGTCACTATTACTCTTGAGAGTTTCATGATATTATCTAGTTTTAGTATTTTCATGTCTATTGATTTTTTTTTTTTTTGTGTTCACAAAATGTAGCAAGAAATACCATAATATGTTCTCTCTTATTGAAACTTAGTCTAACTTCCTAGTGTTCTTTTCTTGTCCTACAGCTGTTTTGACTATACAAATGCATTGGCGGTGAGTTTATTATTTAGATTGGTCATACAAATTTGGATCATTTAATGCTTAATAGCCCAAGTTTGATATTGCTCACATTAATTTGGTTTTGTCCTGTTATAATGAACAATACAGATATTTTAATTTCTCTCTATGTTAAACTGGAAAATGGTTTTAGATACAGCTACTGGTACTGGATTATCTGTTTCATGCTGCATTAATATGGTAATTTGTTACTTTTTCCAGTTTAACATAGAGTGGGTAATTTGTTACTTGTCTGTTTGTATTTTTTTTCAACCTTTATGCTTCAATTAGGAGCACTCTTTCAGCCTTAACTATGCAAATCTATCAGTTCCTGGATTTCCCTGCTTAGAGCAGCAGTGTGAATAGTTTTTGGACTCAAGAAATCTCGACTGTTGGCACCATTCATTTTTTTTTTCCTTTTATTTTATCCGACCCATTATATATTAGACCCAAGAAAAGTGGATAGATAGGGACCTGGATTTTCCTGGCACTTGGATGTTCCCTCTCAATACTGGTGCACAAATGTGAGTAGCAAAACACATGAATAAAAAGAAAAAGAAAATCCTATCTAAGAAGATAGGATTTTGGAGTATTTACAAAAGAAGTTTGAAAGAAAAGACCCAAGGTAGACGGTCTGATTTTCAACAGTTTACCTGAAGACCAAATGAGAAATCTCTAGAGGTCATTCACTGAGAAGGAGGTCTGGGAAGCAATTAAAGATATGGAGGGAGATAAGGCGCCAGGACCCAATGGATTCACAGTGAAGTTTTTTAAAAAGTGTTGGGGTTTTCTGAAAGAAGATCTAATGGCTGTTTTCTCAGAATTCCATGCTTTGCTTCAGCTGCTTTTGAGAGAAGTCTCAACTCCACTTTTATTTTTTTAATCCCAATAAAGAAATGAGCTGAAGAATTAAAGGACTTCAAGCCGATCAGTCTTATTGGGAGTATTTACAAAATTCTTTCAAAAGTTTTAGCCAAGAGAATGAAACCAGTCATGGGGTATGTCATTTAAAAATTCCAAGGTGCATTTGTTGAGAGGAGACAAATGGTGGATGGTATTTTAATTGCAAATGAGATAATTAATTCCCGGATTAGAAGTGGGAGAGCAGGTTTGCTACGCAAGATGGATCTTGAAAAAGCATATGACCATGTGAATTGGGATTTTTGGATTACATTTTAAGGAGAATGAACTTCAGTTCCAGGTGGAGGAATTGGATGAAGGTTTGTGTAACTACTACCTCTTTCTCGGTTTTGGTGAATGGGAGGTCCTGTGGTCATTTTAGGAGTTCAAGGGGATTAAGGCAGGGGGGCTCCTTATCTCCCCTGCTATTTTTGTGTGATGGAAATTTTAGGGAAGCTGATGTGGAAAGCAGTGACGGGGGGTTTCTTGGAAGGATTCAGGGTGGGAGAAAACAGGTTGGAGATCCCCCTATTACAGTTTGCAGACGACTCAGTTTTTTCTCTGTGATGCATCTAGGGAGTAAATTGAAAATTTAATGGCCATTCTCTGGTGGTTTGAAGTGGTTTCAGGGCTTCACTTGAATGTTCACAAAAGTGAATTGGTGGCAGTGGGAGAGGTTCAAGTGCTGCAATCTTGGGCTGATTCTTGGGGATTTAAAGTTGGTAAGTTCCCATTAAAGTATTTGAGAATGCCCTTAGGGGCTAAGTGCAACTACAAGTCTATTTGAGATCCAATTTTGGAGAGGATTGAGAAGAGGTTGGCTGGATGGAAATCGAGGTACCTATCAAAGGGAGGTAAGGTCACTCTAATCAAGAATGTCCTCTCATCCCTACCAGTATATTGCTTTCCTTATATCCAATTCTAGCTGGAGTTGCAAACTAGATTAAGAGGAAAATAAGAGAGTTTTTGTCGATGGGGTGGAAGGAGAGCAAGAAAATTCATTTAGTTAACTGGGGAAAACGGAGGGATAGGAATTAGAAGAATTCGGGAAATGAATTAGCCTTACTTGGCAAGTAGTTTTGGAGGTTTGGTAACCAAGGGAACTGCTTGTGGAGGAGAGTAATTGAAGAAAAATATGGTACAAGAAGTGAAGGTTGGGTCCCTAGTGATGCAAGTTAGTCGTATGGTTGTTCAGTTTTGAAGGGAATCGAAAAAAGCTATAGTGCTTTCCGCAAGGAAATCAAATTTGTAGTGGAAAGGGGTACTAGAGTTAACTTCTGGTTGGATTGTTGGAGTGGTTACAATACACTAAAGGATGTTTTCCCAGAATTATTTGCAATTGCAACAAACAAGGAGGCAAAAGTAGCTGAATATATCCAGTCTGAAAATGGGATGCTTGTCTGGAATCCTCTTTTCAGAAGGGATTTGAATGATTGGGAGATCAAACCATTTAGTAGGCTTCTTCAAAGGTCGTGCAACACTCAAATCGACCCTAATGCAGCAGAGAAAAGGTTTTGGGTTGCAGATAACAAAGGCCAGTTCTTGGTGAAATCTTTCTATGGTAAGCTGGCCCAAGAGGAAGAAGATTTGGAATTTCCTGTGCATATAATATGGTGCAAGCACATTCCATCGAAGGTTTCTTTTTTTTATTTGGGCTGCTTACCTGAATAAGATTCCTACCAAAGACAAGTAGACAACCTGCTTAGAAGGGGTGTGGTGGTTGATTCTAAAAGATGTGTCTTGTGCAACAGTGATGATGAGACTGTTGACCACCTGTTATTGCATTGCAGCTTCACTCACAAAATATGGGTGAGGATTCTCAGAATTTTTGCAATCAGAAGTTGCTGCCCAGAATCAATGGCTGATTTTGTCAACAATTGGAGGGTACAAGGCATAAGCAAGAAAGGGAAAGTTCTATGGTATCTGATTCCAGGTGCTGTGTTATGGTTGATATGGCAAGAAAGAAACTCAAGGATATTCCAAAACAAAAGTTGTCAAGAAGAGGAAGTGTGGCAGAAGATTGTGGGAAGCTATTTTCCTGGTCTGCGATTCAGCTAAAAGTTGACAGTTCTTTTTATAGTTCTCTTTTTGACTTTAAAAGCCTGTTTGTGTCTCCCATTGGTTATGTAGTTTGAGTGCTATCTTTGTACTTCAATTGTAAAGCCTCTGGTTGTACTTTTCTTTTAATGAATTGATACTTCTTCTCAAAAAAAGATAGGCTTTTGGAGTCGGGGAAAGTAGGAGAGATGGGAGAGAATGCTAAGGAAAAATTGTTTTGTACTGGAAAAGAAAAAGTGGGAGGAAAAAGATTAAAGGAACATAAAAATGAAAAAGGAGAGAGATCACATACGTAATCTCATGTGAATTGAATTTTACAAAATTTTCAAAAAACATTGAAAATCATAGGGAGAGCCACATCACTATATGGTATAGATATATTTGTTGAGAACAGGGCCATTAGTTTTGTATTTTTTTTATTCTAAACAGAATAACCCAATACTTGTTTTTACATATGTTTCTATCTTATGATCCTTCTGATGCAGGATTTGGTTGTGGGATACATGGGAGTGCCCAAATATGGAGTAAGCATGACAAAACATCCACAATATGTTACTGTCAGGTATTGTCGTCTTAAGAAAATCAACATTTTCTTTGAAGTAGTTTGAACTGATAGTATTCTTGTCTGCAATGTTTTTAATGTCTCTTCGGTTTATCTCCACTCGTTATTACGTCTTTTAATGCCATAGTTAAAGAATTTTATGGCTCTTAAAATTGCAGAAATGAACGTGGAAGAGAAATGCTTAATCTGGTAAAGAATCTTTTGGAGATTTCCCCAACAATCAGCAGTGTATGGTTTCCCATTTTTACCTTATTTATTTTCTAATATATTTTCAAGTGGAAGTTTTGTAAAAATAGTTGAAACCTCACCTAGAATGCAACTATATTACTGCAGGGTGATAGGCGTCCATTTGTAATGGAAACCGTTAAAGCAGATGATAATGCTAAATTAGGTACTGAGTTGCATCTGTTTATTTATTTTCATTCCTGAAGCTGAAGCAGTTTAAGAAAAACTGTAATCCCAAGAAAAAATAAATTGCTGTTGCCTGACCTTTAAAAATTTTAACACCTACCATCCTCCACCCAACACCAACCCAACTAAACTCAACAAAGCGTTACCCAGCTATGAAGGCAGCTACACTAATACCATTTCACCATTCCACTCTATCATGATTGATATCCATTTTTTAAATTGTAGCCCTTGAATAATTTCTCACTACCTAAATCTATATTCTTTTTGGCTGCTATAAAAACAAGAGGATACAATGGTGAGGGGGGCAACTAGGCCCGTGAAGACAGTCTTGGAAGAATATGCCAATTTTCATAGTTCTTCAAGCAAATCACGATCATTGCCATTCTGTGCAATACAACTACTAATTTATATTTTGTTTTCCTTTCCCAGGAAAGGGTCCTTCACGACCTGCTCCCAGGTTTATTGGCAATTTGATAGCATTTATCCTTAACTTGGTAAATGTCCTTCACAAAGCATTTAGTGGTGAGAACCAAAAATGATGTTTAATGCTAATCTGTTTGATAATGTTAACAGATTGGTCCGAAAGGTCTGGAATTCGCCCGTTATTCATTAGACTACCATACAATACGAAACTATTTGTATGTAAATCGAGCTTGGGGAAAAGAAAGGTAATTTTCTGATCTTGTGTGGTTACTTCTCTGGTAGAGGAATTGAAATCGCTCTCACTATTTCATTCTGATGATTGCAGAGCTGATAAACACATGCCATCATATGCAAAGAAAATTGTAGATATGTACAATCAGAATGGAAAAATTGATAGAATGCTATCCCAAAAATGATCATGATACAGTGTATATGTATGAGATGACTAGACCTTCCTGTGTATGAATCAATTTCCTGAAGTTCTATTCTTTTCTGGAACCACATAAGGGGAAACCATTTCTGGACCCTCAAAATGATGGTTGTACATTTTACTATTTAGCCTCTTTTTACAAACAATGGTGAATTGATGACCACCCATGAATGAGTTATTAACACATGCATGCATTAAGTGGGGCGGTTGCAACCATCTAACTAGGTTGTGTAGCCCATTTGCCTAGCCAAAAAATAAAAAGGAATGTTGTTCTTGAAGCTAATTATTATTGTGTAGGCTGCTCTGGAGTTGAGATTACCCTGCAATTCACCCCAAATATGACTTATGCCAACTTACAGCCATTAGCAAGATTTTTCAAGTGGAGTTATTGTTGAACATTTCCATACAAACAATGAAAGGGAAAATATTATACAGACTTCCACTATAATCTAATCAAAGAGCAAATAATTGAAGGCAGCATTTTTCAGGGAAAAAAAAAACAATCTGTATCCACTAAGAAAAATGAAAAACCCAAATAGCAAAATCAATAATTAAGAAAAGCCAAATATTATACACAACCACCTTTTCCAAGCAATTACTATTTACAGTAACCTCATCTGTCTCCATCAGATGGATGGGTATTCCCAGAAACATTCATTCCTTTGCAACCAACCTTGTACTCCAGGTTGGGAGTCTGATAATCTCGTCAGTGTCCTCCAGACCCCATGTGACGATGTAAAGGGGATTGCTTCCTGCATTGATGGCATCAAAGCCTCGGTTGACTGCTTGATGATGATGCACATTTTATCCCATGAAATGAGCTGGTCCTGCACCAATCTATCATTATATACGTATTGGCGAGCTTTTTGCAACTTTCATTCCTTTCCAACTGGAATTCATGATAAAACTTTTCTTGACCTCACCTTTGGGCGGTCTCTGATCTCATTTTGGGCCTTGAAGAGGAAATCATTTTGTTTTTCATGAAAATTGATCAGTCATGTAAGAAATGATCTGTAGCCACTTGAATGATCTTAAGATTCATGTACTCAATGATCTGTAGCCATGAGCCCATGACCCCAAAACACAGAGGTACAAAAGCAAGAAAAGGGTTACTATTTACACCAACATTTAGGCCTAGGGGTGCTTCCCATTTATGCTTTTGTTTTTTATGTGTTGTACTGCACTGGGGTTCTGCTGACCCCACTGTGTATAATAACCGATCACGAGTGAGCATGCCAGTGTTTCATACACAGAAAAAAAACTTTTGGTCTTTTTAAACCGTAGTTACGATCACTTTGTTTTTATAAAGAGTTTTGAATGTTGGATGAGGTGGCTTTAACATCCACTGTGAGAAGTGATTGTACCTACAATTTACTAGGAGTCAAAGTTCTCTCTAAGTACACATGAGCTACGGAAACATTGGCTTCTTCACTTGTAATTAGTTATATAACTCGTTATCAAGGTTCAAAGTATCAACACGTATCGGCCCTTATTGGCTAATACGTATCATTCCGGGACCCCTCCGGTACGCCCCTACAGTGGGTGTATTGGAGGTCTGACTGGTTTAGGGGGTAGAGGAGCCCTAAACTGGCCCCCCTGAACCGGTTGTGAAAAAAAACAATAAAAATGTGTATCAATTTGCCTGATACACCCCTACCGGCGTATCGGATGTATCGATATTTTGAACCTTGCCCATTACACACAGCTTGGTGAACAGCAGATCCGGTCCGGGATTGTTGCATTGGTCTTGTTCATGAGTACTTGAACCACCTACTTGGGTTGGGCCATATTTAAGTAGGATGAAGTGCTCACATGTGGATGGAGAACTCATGGAACAACCATTTCCGTTCTTGGGTGTATTGAATTGTTGCATATGTGCATCACATGAATTGCACAAACTATGTTTCCACTTGCCAGTTTTGGCCTCAAATGAAAGGATGTGAAGTTACAGGGGTACCCCATCTTTTCTCTGCCACAAGTTTCTTTGAGGGGCAGGAAGTGGATGAATATCTCATCTTCCCTTCTGTGTCATAATATATCAGAAACCTCGTTGGAAGGCAGTTGAAAACAACATTTTGAGTTTGACAAATATAGATGTTTGATAGTCCACATGCTCATCACCACTTATCATGGTGATGGTAAGAGCTGCAACCAATTTTGGTGGGGAGGTCTCTTAGAAATGATTTTGATTACTTTGTACATCCCTGTCCAGAAGGAATTATGGTTGAAATCCCTTTTTTTATTGTAATTAGATACCAAAAATGAATGATTGGGTATGAAATTATGGATGATGCATGAATCAGCCTCAAATCCATCTATCCAAATGGGGAGATGCACAGAATAGAGTTGAACATAATTCCTAACCTTATTAGGTAATATTCCTTTCATAGGAGATTTTTTTTTTTTTTTGGAATAAAGATTGATAAGAGGATAATGTGGGATATTGTCAATGTTTTAGTTTCTGTAGTTGTTCTGGTAATTTAATTTTAATTAATATTCAAATCCTGAACCAAGATATCACAGCCATCGTTCCTCCAAGTGTTATATATGATAATATGACACCCCAGTTGAGACAAAAGATGGGACTGTTCAGACTAGGGGTGTCAATGGACCGGTTTTGGGTTGGACTCTGTCTAAATCAAAATCCATTTGGATGAATTGGATGGACCAATAAGACATATTGAATTTGGATGGACTGGATGAACCAATATAATATATTAGATTGGACCTGGTCCGTCCATAATGAATTTATATTGGATTGAGCCAATATCTGATCCATTGATAGAAGATAAGAACACATGTGTCAATGGATCAGGTTTGAGTTGAAACCAATCTAAATTAACAGAAATTTGAACAGATTGGACAGTCTTTAGACCGGTCCAAAATGGTCCAAAATATTCATTGGACTTGATTGGACCAGGTCCATTTGTAATGGACTCACATTGGACTGGACCGGATTGGACCAAATCCAGTCCAATTGACACCCCTAGTTCAGACCATCTCGCATTAATGGGACCAAGTAGGAAAGCTTGGTAGAATCCACATATTTCTGCCAACTGAAGGGACTGGTTTAAGGTCCCGATACGACTGGTTTAAGGTCTTGAAAATAACCTTCCAGAGCTTCAATTTGCTTTAAGAAAAAATCTCTGAACTAGGGCTTATTTTAGCCATGTGGTAAGGTTTTTGCCTTTCTGGGCTGTGTTATATTCATGGGTGGAGCTTTCTGGATCCTTCATTTTACTTTACTGATGAGTGACCGGACTAAGCAATATCTCCACATACACACATATAAGGGTGCCAATGGACTGGCTTTGGATTGGACTCCGCCCTGTTCAAAATCAATTTGGATGGATTGGACAGACCAATAAGACATATTGGATTGGATTAATCTAGTTAAAATTATTTATTAGATTGGATTGGACCTGGTTCATCCGTAACAAATTTATATTGGATTGGGTTGGATTAAGCCAATATCTGATCCATAAATATAAGATAAGAATATATGTATCAATGGACCGGGTTTGGGTTGAAACCAATTTAAATCAAAATGAATTTGAACAGATTGGACAGTCCATACGTTGATTGGACCAGTCCAAATTAATCCAAAGCATTCATTGGATTGGATTGGACTAGACCTGATCCATTTATAATGGACTCACATTGGACCGGATCGGATTGGACCAAATCCAGTCCAATTGACACTCCACGCAACTTAAAAACCATTATTTTGGCTATTCAATTTTTTTGTTTATAATACATTAAATTTTATTTTCATTTTCCAATTTTCGCTGTTTTTATTTGTCATCCTTCAAACTTCGGCCATAAAATTTCCATCTGTTTTTTTTTTTTTTTTTTATCGTCCAAATTCCTATCTGGGGGTCATGACATTTTTTTCCCTAGAGAGAGACTGTGTTACAAGCAATGAATGCAATTAGGGAACAACATCTTTTTGCAAATATGAGTGAATAAGGTTACATAGAGAGCCATGAGCCAAAACTGGTAGCTCTTTAACTATTACATTCTTTGTTGACTGGATTATAAGGAGCTAAAGACAAAAAAGAAATATTGATATCGAAACAGGCAATTAATACACACAACTTTGGATGTACACGTTGGACAGCCTGTGCTGTCCACAGGCTCTTTTGGAGTTGGTGTGGGCTAATATTAGGGAAAAAACTTTGGCTGTTGGGGGCCAACAGTCTCTGCTGTTAATAACATTTTTGGAAATGATACGTTACCATAGAGTGGGGTAAAATGGTAATTGCCCCTTGTTTTTTTTTAACCATAAACATAAACATGGGTGAACATGTCCACTCTAAACCACTCTCAACAGCCTGTTGGCCCCCAACAGCTGAAGTTAACTCAATATTAGGGATGGCAACAGGGCGGGTTTAATTCTAGACCCTACCTGCTTTCCTAAACCTTTCAACCTGTATTTGCCTCAAAATCCGTAATGAGTTGGATTTTGAGAATCTAAACCATCCCCACAAATTAAATGAAAATGCAAAACCCTCCCTGATCATACCTTCCTTGCATTTAAGTGTAAGGGTAGGTTAGGTTTAGAATCTACATCTAATTTCCTATTATTTCTTGACATATATAATCAATAAATAAGTAAAATAATACAAAGTTTATATGCTTCATATAAAATTCAAAATATTATTAAATTCAACACCTAGTAAGATAGAAATTGCCTCCCTAGCTGATATATATCAGGCAGGAAGAACCCTATAAGCATCATACTTTGTCAGACGTTGGAGGAATCAACCCGATAACCAGACCCCCGACCGATTTAATCACCAGGTTGTTTTAAAAATCATAACCTGTATATTATAACTAATACCGGAAGAGCTTTGACCAATCAAAGCACCCCCTCTGAATTTTGATTGGTTGTAATACTGCCTTATTTTTCACTTCTTTTATAATACCGGTTTATTGGTTGTAATTTTTTTCTCGTATCATAATCAAACCCATTATAATTATGATCATTAACTAGTTTATTTTGAGATTGATAGAAATTTGAATTAAACCATAGAAATGGTGGACTCTTGTGTAGATCTAGTCGACGACAAAATCTGGCTTGATTGGATCATTGTCCAAATTAAAAATAGTGCATATATTTCTTTATCATTTAAAAAAGATTTAATCTCAATTGGTGAAGTTATCTACTGGATTGAATTTTAATG